TTAAAAAAATAGCAGTGCCTAGCTAAGGTAATGAAGTATCTCCTATTGTAACATTGTCATGTGTCTCTGAAGTCTCACCAGTCAAGCTGTGGTTGTTACAGAATATCTTAAACTAAGAGCATGGCACAATAAATAAAAACTTTCATAAAATTTAATCAGTTGTGATATTGTTTTGCTTGGTGAGGGTGGTGTAATTCTTACCACCATTAACAATAACTAGCCATGGAAATTTTTCACGTTTTCTAATTATTAGTATTATTGTGTGCTTTTAATAAGTACAAAGTATCCGATTGATGCTCACAAGATTAAGCATACACTTAAGTGCTTAGCAGAAGTTGGGTCCTTAAATGACCCTTCTGTATTTCCTTTGTCATGGCACTAAACCTGCTGCGCTTCTTGAACTTTATCTGAGTAAGTGCTGCATACTGTATTTATATCAGACACATTTTTTTGTTTGCATTTTGGCTTTATGAAATGTCAGGATCAATCTTATACTAATGAAATGTCCAAATTTCATCTCAGCTATGAACATAGCTGCTAATCCTATAAGATGTTTACTTTCTGCCTCTCTGGCTATGTATAGTAACAGAGAGTCTGCCAACTTAAGCAGTGCTGACAAACGTCTCCCTATTGCTAGTCAGTCTAATAAATGTTATTTCATTGAGTAAAGATTTAAAATTAATTTTAATTAAATGTCATTAAAATCCCTTGCAACCTTTGACAAGTTTGCTCTTACTGCAGGCCAGTAAAAGTAGTTACCTGAATACTGCATGTGCCCACTGAGTCCCACCCAATTCAGTAATTTTTATGTTTTAATCTTTCAATTTCTTAACTTTAATCATTGTGGAATATAGCTTTTGATGGTAGTGGCTGCGTTTTAAGCAGAAACGTGGAGGGAGAAAGTAGAGAGAAAGGCAGGCTCTTCCAAGGGATGCAAAACTGACAGGAAAAATGTAAGCCAAAGGCCACTGACCAGAGTCCAGCCTTCCTAGCAAATCATGCAGAGTCTAACTACAAACCTCCCAAACCTTTCTTAAAAGTCGATCTTAAAATTTTTCCTGTGGCATTCTCAAAGTGAGAGCTATGCAATTCTCAGCATGAAATCTCAGGGTGCTTTCCTTGTTGAAGGCTGTGGTCAAAGAGTTCACAGGCAGACTGTCCAAAGAGTGTGGGTGTGTTTGTGTATGTAATGACATTTGTTACATTTAGTTTCTAAGCTTCAGGCCCTGATTTTCCACATCCATGCACTCTGAGTAGCCCTTGGCACCTATGCAAACACCACTAGAAGCCTGCTCAGGCAGAATGGTGTATTTATTTGCACTGGCATAGTGCCTGAGGAATTACCCAGGAATAGGGCCCTGGTGTGCTGACCACCATAGAAAAAAAAAGATCTCAACAAATGTTTCTCAGATTTCTGATACCCAGGGAACACTTCATTTTAGATGGGAATTGCTATGCAGATGACAGATGTGGCCGAGCACCCCTTACCCTGTGCAGCAGTCTTATGAATGGTCATTAGTGATTGAACAGGCAGAGCACACAGGCGTCTTGCAAAATTTCCCTTGTAAACCATTTGGGAATCACTGAACTTGTTTTCCCCCATGTTATGGAGCAAGCTGATAAGGGAGAGGAGGTAACACCCCCAGGAACATTGTGGGAATACGATTTGGTGCCTAGCTTGTTCTGATGTAGATGAGTACAAAAGCTCAGAAGCAGCAGCCACTGCCTGGCTTGGTACCTCTGACTGATGCTGCACAGCTATTGGCTGTGAAAACAGGAGATCCATTTTCAGATGCTTTCCAGAAGTGGTACTGCTCCTCGCAGTTCTACTGATGGATGGCAACCAGCCAGGAACAATGTGATTTTGGCAGTTTAGGACTGGATCTTATAGCAGTATGATCTGACGTGAAACCTGGATGCGTTATCTCTATTTCTGCATTTATTTAGGCAGTGCCACTGATACAGCAAAGGAAGTACAAGTACAGTTTTAATTTTCTTGGATCCGAAGATCATTCCCTCAGAAGTCAGCCTCTGGTGTGGCCAGCGGAGACCCTGTTGATTCACCTTCCTTAAACAAATTGATCAGGATTCACAGTATTAATACCTTCCTTGTTCCAGGGTGGACAAGGAAGGTCCACTTTTCTAGGTGACCCACCATTGCCTTTCATGTGTTCAGAAACAGGAGCCTAGCTTTTAAAAAATGTAAATGAGATTTATTCGTAGTGTCTGTAAGTTATCAGAAAACATGAAAAACAGCAGCCCACGGGCCTCTGTTCTTGAGAATTAGTTGTGTTTTCCTCTTGTAATAGACTTGTCCTCGTCTGATTCTCACCCTTGTTAAGATTGCTAAAGTTTCTATATACTTTAGTGTCTTATTTTGGTATCTATGAAGGATTTACCATAAAATCCATGTTATGGCACGACAGAGGAGTACTGATTAAATAAATGATGTTTCCGATGTTGACATGGGACCAAATATACCTTTCTAGCTCTACTGTGCAACTCAAAATGATCCTAAGGACCTAGTAGAATTAAGAACTCGCACCTCAGGACATCTCAGGCAGAAAGGTGTCATCCCTCAATGTCTGACTGAGAAGCATTTTCTGTTCAGTATTTTTAACCTTCTCCTTCCGTTTAGTTCCTGCTCTGCCACTTAATGTAATGCCCGTTTATTGCAGACTGCTTTTAGTTTGGTCCTTTTAAAAGCTCCCTGAGGCACAATGATGCCTAGAAATTAATGTATTCCCTTCCCGCACATCAAGCAGATGTGTGTATATTGAGTTAGTGTCTCTAACATTTAGCTGATTTCTTTTCAGAGCATAGTTGAATCACTGCTACATACCAAACCCATTTGTGGCCTTTCCTTCTTAAACTATTGGGATATGTAGGTTTATATACACAATATTTTTAGCTTTAATTGCAAAGCGCCTGTGTGACTTGCAGGTTTTTATAAAATCACTAGTCCTAGATATGCTACGCTATTGGGCAGCATAGTGCTCCAGTTGCTGAATGTGGCTGGATTCAACAGGAGCCTGCGTAAGGCACCCTTGGCATTCCAAGACCTTGAAGTGGTTGTCTTTGTCATCTTTGCCCACCTATCTTTTTCTTACTGGTTGGAATAGAAGTTGTCTTTGAAAAGGTTACTGCTGGTTGAAAAGCTGAGGACTTCGGTTAACATAATAGGCAAAAGCATCCTTGCCAAGGAATTAACATGTATACAGCTAACTGTAGAGCCAGGCTAGGGTAACTCCCGCTTCTCCTTCTCTAAAGTGAAAGAAAATCCTCTCCTAACGTTCATATTACACAAAGCCATGATTGTTACTTCTCAGCTATGGTTGAGGCCACTCATTTTACCTGTACATGGCAATGCTTTATTTTCCGTCAGAAAACGGTGGTATCTCTCCAAGTACCTGCAAACCTTTATATCGCATCCTCTCTTGCTGAGACAGTCAGCAGAAGTAACTCTTTGGAAGAGCAGCAGTCCTGTCCTTACTTTTCTACCCTTACCATAAAGAAAAGTGCCCTCACACTCAGAACTAAAAACGCCAACTTCAGGTTGCATTGTGTTTGTCAAGGTAAGACATCATGAGGATGATTTCCTGGAAATCCCCCCAGCGCCTTAAGGTAGACAGAGTACCCTTCCCACTGTACTAAAAAGACTTAGCTGTTCTAAAGTCTTTTAAAAATATAGATTTATTTTAAGCATGTGAAACATCAGGATAGGCACAATTATAAACACAGAAAGATTAAACATTGCAATGAACTTGCAGCCAGACAACGCAAGCAATAACTTAAAGGCAGAGGTTACCATTTCACACACAAAACCGGCTGGAAATTGGTTATTTTTGGTACCAGACATTCTAGACTTTGCTCATCTCAGTTTTAATTTGAAAATATCCTATCATTCCACCTCTTCCAAGTTTTTATTTAGAAGTTACTTGCGTAAATACCTATATATTTTAAATAATGTATAAAGTGCATTCAGATGAAGGACGGAAAAAGGTAAAGGCCCAGTTTCCAGTGCACTAGAGGGGACTGAGGCAACACATGCTCAAATCATTGACTAGAAAGAGCTTGGTTTTGAATCAAACTCTAAGAACATATTGAGTAATGGCACAGTAATGCAAACATGGTTTCTAGGAGACAACTTTAGAGCAGATACTAACTCCTAGAACTATGGCTTGACAGCATATTTGCCTTTTAAGTTTTGCAGAGCAAGGTCACATTCCTGTGTTGATAATTACTAGAATAAAAACATGCTGAAGTTTGAAATGTTCCTCCTAATGTGATCCTGAACAGTTGTTACTGTAAACAACTTTCTATTTATTTTGAAATAGTCCATTAATTCTTGGGTCTTATTGTCTGCATTTTCCTGTAGACTGTGAGCTGCTATCTTGGAATTCCAATTAGTTTTTTGTTGTTAGAAGTGCAGCCATTTCCATCTTTAACTAGCCTTTAAGCCTAAAGCTGTTTCTTTTAACATGAGTGAATCAGCATGTCTTGTTCAGAAGCTTAGGTTTTACAGTTCACAAGTAGTTAAGAGAAATCTAAGGACAGCTAAAAGAAAACACCAGCTTCAACTCTCAGCTTCTTCTAACTCATATGTGTCTCTCAGAAGCTTGAGAAAGGCTAAGGGATATTGCAAATTAAAACACTCTGGCATCATTTTTTTCCCTTAAGACATGTTGGGAATGTAGAGGAATTGAGCAGCACCAAAAATTCCACTGGTTTTTACACAAGTGGACTCCTTTCTGAGAGGTCGTTGCGGTGCTGGAGCCTCTTACCCCTCTAAGCACATCTGTTACTTCTGTGGAAGCATGACCTTGGAAGACAGTGAACAACATTCCCAGTATTGTGATACTGACATCAAGGACAGAATAGTTACAGTGGTTTTTCCCTTACACTCAACAGGAATAACTCCTCCTGACATGAAAGTAAAAAAAGAAACTTTTTTTTTTTTTTAATTGTAACTTCCATCTCTATTTTATATCAACTGTGCTTATGAATAGCTAGGGAAAAAAGTCCCGTAGAATTCAAGAGCTGAATTCTTTAACTCTTTTCAGTCATCCTTTTTGTCAGAGGTACTTGAGTTATCCTCTCCATTGCCTTCAGGACAGACTTTATTTCTTGCAATTGGTGTTGTTTCTGAGACTGGGATTGTACTCTTTCTAACTGGACTGTGTTTAACTTCAGGTGATTCAATGTCATCCTCCTCCAACACGTCTAACTGGTATCTCTGTAGGTCTAGGTATGTAGTAAACAACTTGGCATATTCTGGATGCTTGAGTGCAAAGTTCTTGAACTCATCTGAAAAACATAAAAAATACAGATACTATAGTGCAGCAACAGAATCAAAGAAAATTTCAGTGCCTGCTCCTTTTACTGAAGCTGATCTCCAGTTACTTTCTTCTGAAGCATCTCAGGCAAATCACACAAAGTACCTAGGTCCGTGCTTCAGCAGTTTTCCCCAGAAAGAGATTATGAGAACCATCAGATAATTTCACAGAGAAAAAAGGTAGGAAGCGCTCACTGTTGATATGACTATCAGAGTGCTCTTCCTTACAAAAGGATGTAACTTACCATAGGACAGCTTCCCAGTTTCATCTGCATCTATTTCTTTAAAGAGCATAGAAACATCAAGCTCAGGCACCCCCAGAGCTGACTGAATGATACAAGCAAACTCATCTTCCGTTATAGTGCCATCCTCATCCATGTCAAAGAGCTGGAAAAGACATTATGTGTAGAAATACTTTAGCATCAGTTTGCCTATGAACCTTCTGTGCACATCAGCCACCCCTATTAGGTTTCTATTCAAGAGGTGATCTGCAAACAATGCCTGGGATTTGAAGAGACCGGTTGCATCTCAGCTACTTTCTCTTGCTAAAGATTTTATGTATTTTCTCTGGAATAAGACTAAGCAGACACTTAGCAAAGCAATGTACATGCTATAGTTGGGATTACAATATTTTCTAATAGGAGAAGTATGTAGCAAACCTGCAACAACAAAAAGACCTCACAGCATTAGTTCAGTAATAAAACTCATACAAAACTGATAAAAACAAAACATAAACAAAGGTTTATGCTAATTGTCACCATGAGCTATGCTAAGGGTCTACTGCATTCAGCCACTGTATACTGAAAGGTTTTAGTCTTCGTTTTCATTAAGTTATGGCACATCTGCCATCAGATTAAACTTGCCATAGTTTATGCTCTGACATAAAATACCTACATTTTAGTATACGTGATCTGTCACCCACTAAGGAATTATTGTAATTAACAAGGAATTTTGGTGACTGGAATACAGGCAGTAGAGGTACAACTGATCATCCCGTCCTTCCCAGCACAGTGCTGGTAAGCGTCTGCTATGAATCAACCCGTTGAGAAATACAAGGGATGGATGGCTGTAATTCTTAAGTACTGGCTACAGGCAAACTTTCCCATTGTGAAGGAAAGTACATTTAGTGGAAGCGAAAACAAGTAGCAAAAGGAAACCCATAGTTTCATTTCAGACTGAAACAGGCTTTTACCAGCTGAACCAGTCGTTTCCCGCTGAAACTGGGAATTAAAACAAATTACTAATTTTATAATCAGCGCAACTGTTAAGATACTGAAGAGTATAGTCTAGAAAACAAAAGAATGGAACAGCAACAATAGCTGCTAGGCTTGCTTCTTCATAGGAATCTGTAGTGATAAAACATCCCTGAAAAAGCACAGATCACTTTGAACAGCTGTAGCACTTCTCTCTGTAAAGCAGCCAGTGTACGTAACGGATTGCCATAAAAATTCTGGTACTTCCCGAGTACGCATCAGTACTATAAAGTATCCAGTTTAAGATTAATGTGATCCATATCTCAATATACTGTTCAATATGGTTCATAAGAACAGATTAGCAGGTGAAATAACTGAATCTGTGTCAAAGATCTACTAAAAAAAAAGTCACCTGAGCATTTTCCTATTCAGGGATTCACAACCTGGGCATCCCTGGTCACATATTGCCTGCTTGTACCTGAGATCTGAAAGGAGCTACTGCTCCTTGACTGCTTGTACTACCAGGACACCATAGTACAAGCCAATAGATGACCTTAGATGCAGCCCAATTTTGGATGTGCCAGTCCTGAATAGTCCTTGATTTTTTTCCCCCCTCCTCTTTGTTAACAACAGTGACTCTACTGAGCACTTGACCCACAAGAGGATATTGCTCCATCTGTTGTCTACTTGTGACATTGAAGAATCACAGCAGAAAAAACCTCAGGCAAAAAAACCGCAAGTGCTGCTGAATCATTTTTGGAGTTAGCCTGCCAAGTTACATATTCATTAGTGCCTTCACATGGCTTTTGAAACCCTTTTCTATGAAGCTGATGCCTGCAATTCTTTCCCTCCCCTTCACACTCTAAATGTCAATTGGTTTAAGAGTATTACTCACATTTGCATAACAGATTGAAGCTATAAACTTATGATTTGAAAGCTAACAGATTTACAGTCAGTCTTGATTTGTCAGGTTTGTAGATTTACACTAAATTGAACTTACCTTAAATGCCATCTGAATAGTCTCTTCTGTGTTGGCTGGGTTACAAAGAATAGACAAACCAATTACATATTCTCTGAAGTCGATGGTGCCATCTCCATTCTGTAACCAAAATACGGATGGCAGTAGTTATAGTTAATATAGCAAATCACTTTTAAAAAGTATAAATCAACTGTACAACATGCACTAAGACAGTTTACAACACTAGATGTATTTGTTCTTCCTGGAAAAAGTACTAACAGCTCACTAAATATATGTAATACTAGGGCTGAAGTAGCAATATATATATTTTCAATAGCTAGAAATTGGATATCAATTTCTATCTTATAAATGCCCAAACAAAAAAAGATTTAAAACAATTTACAAGTTTTTCTTTTGTATATGACCTCTCAGAAGCCTCTAACAAGAATTGGAATACGTGTGTTTAAGGTAACTGTAACAGTTCGTGTAGTACTGGCACTTGCTAAAGTTCAAAGACAAATGCAGCATCCTAGAATAAACAGGCCAACAGTGAGGCTGTTGCCTTGAGTTAATTCTTCCTAAGAACCTTCAGCAATAAAGTATATGCCGGTGAAAGTACAGCCTGATGATGCAGTAAAGCTACATGGTCTATCTTAAGCCTTTCTTTGAAGCAAATGCATTGCCCTACATGGTATTTTGAAGCCAATACATTGTCCTACCTTTTAAGCCAGAAATGCAATGAATTCATTGTAACAGCCTCTCTGATAATTCCAGTTTTGATCTGAACGAACATTTCAATGTGTTATCTACAAAGCTACATCAGCAGGACATTTGAAGCTTGCTTTGATGGGATTCGTGATTAATTCTATGTAAGCTGCATTATATTTGCAGATAGGGAAAATGGCAGATGCCTGTTGACATATATGCTTAAGTCAGTAGTGTTCCTTTGACCACACCGAAAGTTTCTTGAGGGTTTTGGGAAACATCCAGTCTGGGGAAGAAGCCATATATAAGTGTTAGGTGAAGGGACACAGAGTAGTTAATGAAAGCATAGTATAGATGACTAGTAGCTCATAGTTTGGAACATTCACAATAAGGGCATTCATCAAAAACATTTTAAAAGCAAACAAAAGTGTAAATGAGTTCCTTTTGTGGATAATGTGTTGTACATTTCAAGAAGAAAAAGATTTTTAAAAAAGTGGACTCCTTAAGTCTGAGGACAGCACAAAACTTTTTCAGCCAAGCAAGAGAGGGCTGGTCTCCTGGGTAAATCTGTAGTGAACAGCCAGATCCAGATTCTATTTCTGGCTCTCCTACCAACTCCTAATGCCCACTTGAGCATACCAACCTTAACCTTTCTGTTCTTGGCTTTCTGCTGCTGAATAGTGGAATATGGAGCTTGCCAGTAGAGAAACACTAAGGCTCCTCTGTAGAGCGCTTTGAAAATCTTGGGTTCTATGAAATAGGGATTTCTGTTTCTGAATTTAGGTCTTAAGATAGTCCTTGATTAACAGAATATATGTAATAATGGATTCAGCACTAACTTTTCTTTATCAAGCTGTATATTTGACAGGATTTAAAACTGCTAAGATACAATTTTATTTAGCCTTCAAAACCAATTCAGGACTGTTTTGCACAGACAACTGTTATTTTCTTTATAGTGATGGTCTAACCAATCTTTTTTGGAGACATGCAACCTTTCAACATCTTGCACTTTAAAGGCCTGTGAATTTTAAGGAAACTTTTTAGCAAAAATATGAATAGTCTTTAAGTTACTTTCGTGTGTGTCTAAGCGATACAACTTTTGACAGTTTTTAATCATTAGAAAAAGACAATGTTCTCTCAGAAATGCTATTTTATTTACAAATCTGTGCTCTCATTGTGCTGCAGAGTTTGACTGTAAATGTTTTGGCTACATGATAGTTCTCATGACAATAATAGATCTAACTTTAAAATGTATCATTACAAACCTAAACTCTTAAAACAACTGAAGCAAGAGTGTAGATAATAATTGTTCAAAGTTCAATGGAATATTATTTTTGGACAGTTTTATAGACTGTATTCTTGGCGAAGGATTGTTTGATGCCATTAGAATATTTTTTAAATTTGTTTTTAAAGTTAAGAATAAGTATCCCAGGAAAAGAATTGGGAAGTAAACTTTAAATAAAATAATCTCATTAAAAAACAACTTCTGAAATCAGTTAACACAGCTTTGGCTGCACATGGAAAAATGTCAAGAGCTAATAAGGGTCATATTACTTTCATTAAAGTGCTAAAACCCCGTAATCAAAACTGAGTGCAACCTGATACGCAGAATGCCAGCTATCTGAGTAGGAAATAAACTTACTATACTTGCAAGATCACGTTGTGACTACTTCTGCTAAACCCCAGGATGCTGGCTAACTTCCAAATGCTCTGGCATTTTGGTTAAGGAGAAACGTTGTTGCTTGGAAAAAGAGATGGGAGTTAAACTGAAAATGCAGGAAAGCCTTCAGTGCTCGTGTAGCACCACTGCAAACAAGCACTTGCAATAGTCTTTCTATGCATATCTAGCTGTGCTTGCAGCCTGTGCACGCAAGAATATTTTAAGGAAGCAACATGTGAGCTGAGCTCCAATTCTCTAAATAGCAAAGTAGAACATCAATATTTATATATTTGTATTTATGTTACACAAAATAACCAAAATGTAATGTAACCTCAACAATCCTTATTTTTTTTAAGGTAACTAGTTTTCTGCTACTATTTTCACTATAGCATGCTATGGTAACCAGGGTTTTGTTGTTGGGTTTTTTATATAATACAGTAAATCTTACACTTTGGGAAATAAAGTGTGCATTGTCATGAATAGTCTCCATTTAGAGTGGCACAAGGAGATGAGGGCCAGATAATAAGTTAGCTTTACGCAGTTGGCAAAGCTCTCTGCAAGACAGATGCAGTCAATAAAGTTTAAAGTACTGCTGCGCCAAAACTTTTTTATCACCATGTAAGGCAACAGGAAAAATGAAGCGTGTGTATGTGTATGCGCTAGTCATTCCTGTTCTGATTAGCTAAGTAAACCCAGAGTCACTTCCAGGGCTACCACAGAGAAGCTACAACTGGACCATTTGAGGAGGAACTGCAGATGCACCTCTCGTGTTCATATCCAGGCTCATCATCTAAGAGGCTACGGCTGTAACTCCAAAATTTCCACTGCCTGTTGCTATATGCAAGTTCTAACTAGTCAGAGAGGGAAATTCTGAAACAAACCTGGTAGGATGGTACTCGCCTAGACGTTATCTATCACACTTTCCCTTGTGCTCAGTTTTCTATTACTCAGAGCCCAAATGCCACTGTGGAGCACTTTGTGCTTTTCCATTGAATAACTGGGAGGGGGGGTGAATGCCATGAGGAAGGAATTGACCTCTTTCATCACAATTTGGGCCAATACACATATTTTTACTGTTTCTGTCACCCAGTTTGGTATTAAACAAAGTGCAGGAGGAAAAAAGCCTGGGCAAAAGTTGTAAGTTACTTTTTCCTAAGTTGCAAGTAAAAGGCTTCTGCAAGTATACCAGGGAGGAGATTTCATCAGTTTGGAAAATACAATCTGCCACGTGTAACTGCAAGATTTAGAAATCAAAGCTATGGAAATTCAGAAACAAAACCAAACCACAGTACTCCATTAGTATTCAGACGCCCTCAGGTATTGTGTGGTATTTCTCAATTAGTCACTGATGTCTCCCTGGGGAGCGGCAGGGGCATGGGGACTCTTACATCTGTAGGGCACAGGCTGGGCTACTCTGCTCATCCTTTCACATTCCAGTCAGCTAGTACACACCCTAGACAATTTTCTTTTAAAGCAGCAGAGCCCTGCTGAGAAATCTGCCTTGTTACATTGCAGCGCAAGAGCTGTTTTCATCAACTATGCAATTCTTAATTCAAAGCAATGTACCTTTGACAGTTCACGTTTTTCCTTTTTCTTTTACTCAAAAATTGACATCTGTTACAGAACTGCGTAACTAGCCTGAGTGGGATGCTGCACCCTGATAAAATTTAGCTCAGATAGCCAGAGGTTGATTTTGGCTGGCTGTCTGCTATGTGACGGCATTACTACAGCAAGCTTCTCTAAATATAAATGTAGTATTTTAAGTTGTTTTCATTATAATTACAATAAGGCTTCAAGGAAAGAGAGAAAAGACTAGTTTTGTAGGAAGGAGAAAAAGGTTGTAAAAGTAGCCTTATAGAAGTCTTCAATTTTGTCCTGGCCAGGAGGTAGAACTGACAATACCGCTCAGGTTTTGCTTCAGCAGACAAGCATGAAAAAGCAGATGTAGGAAGGAAATTAAGTATGATTATGTAAATTCATTGATCATTATACTTATTGCAACTCTCATGTTTTTCCCCTTGTTAAAAATAACTGCACAACTCTCTTTACTAGTGATTGCCTTCAGGCAAGCAGAGCTTTATTCCAGCTTAGTGAATGCTGACAAATGGGACCAGTAACATCACACAGCAACACCAAACTTACGAGCTTTTTATATAATAGTTATAGACAAGCCACTTTATGTGAAGAAATAACTAAGCTTTGATCCTTCAACATATTCCTTCAGAGACTAGAGATAGTTTTCTGAGACAGACTTACGCAGCTGTCCAACTGACAGCTTATACAAACCCTTCAGAAAAGCAGACTAATGCATGCACAAGAGGAATCCCAACACTTTAAGCTGAGCTATCTATCACTAGCTACATCTGCCTTAAAACAAGGAAAAGACTACAGTTCTATAGTACAGGATTGTAGTCTTCCATGTATTTCTTCCAGACGAAGCTTATTCTTCTCTGCTATGCCTTCATGAATACATGGTCAGCTGCAGCCAGTCTTCAATGGTCATTTTGATCTGCCCATCTCCATCTTGGTCCAGGGACTTGAAGGCCCGGAACATGCTGTCCAGTCGTACCAAGCAGCTAATGAAGTTGTTGAAATCCATGCTACCGTCCTCGTCAGCATACCTGCGCACAATTACCTGGCTGAGTTGTTCGTTCAGGTGGAACCCTGCAGCCTTCAAGGCATCTGGCAGCTGAGCTCTCCCAACAGTGCCTGACTGATCGGTATCATGCTGCTTGTATACACATTGCCATTTCTTGATGTTGTTCCACAGATACTTAAACTCTTCAAAGCCCAGTTTGCCATTTGTATCACTGTCCATGACAGCAACCATGCTACGGCACGTGTCTAAGCTGAAGCCATCTGTCTTCAAGTCTTGATGTCTGGAAATGACTTTGTTCAGGATGTCCCTTAGCTCTGTGGCACACACTTCCATATCATCTCCAGCCAGCTGGGCAAAAAGGCGACGAAACTGCCTGATCTCCTCACTCTCATAAGCTTCCACATTCGTAAAATGATTGTGAGGAGGTGGAGGTGGCTCTGGATTATACTGAGCTGCTGCTTCACTTATAAGATTGACAAGACCTCCAACAAGTCCTGCAAGATTTCCTCCATGTCCACCTCCTGTTCGGAGACCTCCAAGGCCACGTGCAAGGCTCTGTCCACGACCACTACCGCTTCCTCCACTCAGCAAAGCTTTAGCAAGGAACATCGCGAAGATTTTTTGAAGGGAGCCACTCAGATCCAGTGCTTCTTTAACTCTCCAAAGCCGTACTGCGTCTGAGCCTGGGCAAAACACAGCTTTATCTGCGTGCTTAGACTTCATGTCTGTGCATGTCTCCAGCTGCCAGAGTTACCTCAGGTCTCAGTAGTTTCTGTCAGTTGTTGATACGCCTCTATTTCTTTTTTTCTTCTCTGCATAGTTAGCTTTATGTGATTTGAGGAATCTTTTTAGAAAAAAAAAAATAATGATGAGGCTGAAAGCCACAGAGCAGAAGTCTCAAAATACCTGTGCTCATAATTGAAGCAATTTGAAAAGAGCCCTGCCACATCAGTGTGACTGTTCCTCAATTAAGCTGGTCTCCTTAAAGATGAATGCAGCGAAAGCTTACTAGTGTCTTGTCTGTTCTTGCAAACTTTGATGCCTTCAGCTTTTTAGCGAATTGAGCTATAATTGCTAATTCTAGTCACTGACGCTGTTGTGCCAGACAGGGAAAGTGAAAGGAGTCATGATTGCCATTAATTATTTTAGTTGCCACACCATATTTGTATTGTATGTACTGTGCTTCAGGACTCAGAGTACATGTTCATAGGAGCCAATGGTCCAAGATGGGGAGGCAAGAATGAAGCAAGGATGAGTACCTAGCTCTGCTAGAGCTTCAATGCATTCAGCAATTAGGGAAATACATTTGACTCTTCTCTATTTTAGAGCTTGTAAAACCTTTTTATCTGCAAAAATCCTGAAACAGTTTTAATTGGCATATACAACGCAATGACCTCCCAAGGACAGGTGTACTGCCAAAGCTAACTTGATCAGGAAGAGTGACGCTGAGCTGGGAGAGCTCCTACGATAAGAAACAAACTCCAGTTCATAAGCACTTGCAGTACAACATGCTGCTTGCACTGCAGCACATAATGGATGCCTAGAAGTAAGATGAATTCTGTGCTACACTCTAGTCACTGATGCTTCTGGTATAGTCAGAGGGGTGCATCCACAGAGCAATTTTCCTCATCTTCAGAGAGAAGTAGAAAATGGAAGAGATCACCACTGACCATGGAGGAAAGCCTAAATGATCACATTAACAGATAGCCGCCTTTATGGCTGGAGATCGGCAAGAGGAGTCCTTACAATGTCTAATAGCACCCTTCACAAACACAGCAGGAACATACACTCTAGTCAGCTTCGATCTGCCTTAAATTATCTACTTACAACTACATCAGTTAATTAAGCTGTCAGAGTGTACATAAGCTCAAAATCTGGGGTAGGCAAAAGGAGATATTCAGCCATTACCAGCATGAAGATTATCATCTGATGGTGGTGCAGCAAGTTGGTCCAAGAGATGGCTGTCATCTCACAAGCTACAAACTGACCAACCTTCTTCCAACGAAACTTAAGAAGGAAACTGTAAGAGTCACCTATCTTGCCTATTCAAACAGGAATTGCCTTCCTAATTCAAACAGGAATTGCTAACAAGAAGCATTTACTAAGCTGGACATAAAGAATTAAATATCCTTTTGGTATGTGATTTTTAACAAAACCTTGTCAGCAAGTCAGTTAATCAACTACTCACCCTGTCAAAGAGTAGAAACAGCTCTTTGAGGACATCTGAAATAGGCAGCTTCAAGTACTCTGCAAACTCATCAATTCCAATTCTTCCCCCTTTGGAAGCACTTGCAATAGCAGCAAAGGTATCCAACTGCTCTCTGACATGATTCCATTTTAGGCTATGCAAACATGAGGGAGAGGAGATACTTCTATACAGCAGATCTTGGACAGATGGAATTTCAGTAGGAGTTATTACAGTGTTCAACAATGAAAAACAGCCAAACAGAGCATGTGTGTACAGCATTAGAAATGCTGTACTTCTAACCTGATATTTTATATGAAATCACCAATTAAGAACTGCTCCCCCTGGTTATAAATATTAAAAGCAGACAGTTCTATGCTGGGGTATATCAGACTTCCTCAGAGTAACTTCCCAAACCTAGAATCATCTGTCCAGCTACTAGGCTAGTCTAGCAGAGAGTTTTTCATTACCATAAATTCACGTGCAGCATTATTTTGCTGCACCGTGCTCTAGGGTGAATATTTCCTTAGAAGAAGGGAATAGATCTCAGCTCTATTAGCTAACTTTCTACCGAAACTCTAGTATCGCTACAGCCTGAGAAGTATCTGATCTCTCTGCAGAAATGCACCACTGCATCTCAGTAGGAATAATTAGGATTGCCATGTAACTATTGAAGATTGTTCCAGACAGAGTTCTATAAATGGATAAATAGCAAATATTTAATAAGTAAAGATTCCCTGCGCACATACTTTATATTTGACCACAGCCACGCCAGGTTATTTGATGGAGTTACTGTGTGGTTAAGTGGTTCTGTCCTCAAATTCCACTGTATCCAGACAGAAGAAGTCAACACCACTAGGGAAACATGGCTGCGCAGTACAACTAAGAACAGTAAGCCACTGGCTGAAGTCTTAGGCTGGAAAGAAGGTTTTTTACTTCCTACCACACACTGCCTGTGCATCTCCATAAAAGCAATTTAAATTGGGCACCAAGATTACCATCAAGTGCCTAAAACAGGTACTGCTCTACCTTCCTCACCTTTTGGTGAGATAAATCCATAAAAGATTAGAAAAATGCATTTTTCCTCTTGTAACACTGCCCACAGAAATTATTTGGGATTAGTTCTTACTGGGATTTTCCTCATCTCCGGTTTCCATATAGTTTATGTATGTAAATTGTATACATAAATATACCATATTACGCATGGCCAAGTCAGTTGTCAGGTAATGTATCCTTTTGTAGATGGCCATCAGCACCTGCAGCGCTGCAGTAATTATGCTACCAACAGCTAAACTTCCCTTACTTGAGTTTCTTGCTAATTTTGGTGAACTCCACCAGCCCAGCTTCCATGGGTAAAGTCAGTTGTCCTGCTGAAATCATCAGTCTGCAATCTTCAAAAGTGTGATCAGTGACTGGCACATTCAAAGCACTGAAACAAAATTAAAGAAAAAGAAAAATCAATTTCTTACATTAAAATTACTTTTAGTTGACTGTTTCCCTTCTCTGTCTCAGTTTGGCTTTAATGCTTTAATACAAAACAAATGATAATTCATTCTTGCACTGCTGCAAGTAGGATAAAGCAATACATACCATTTTATGAAACTGTGAAACCATACTGTGTGAACTACATTATGGCAGCATCATGATGTTTTAAGATTTACAGTCTTGTAAATGCAGCCCAGTAACGTTGGAGAACAAACCACCCACTTATTCTTGCCAAACAAATAATGGAGCAATTTATTCCAGCTTCCCATGAATTGAAGGTACTATGTTCCAATGTAAGACAACCTTCTTTATGCTCCACGTAAAAACAATCAGGGTGTTTTAGTGTATGAATTTGACACCTCTTAGTGAATATCTACAGCAATTCCTATATATAGTACCTGGGACTTGACTAAATTGTACTTTATGGCTAGGATATATATGGAATTGCTGGATATAAAAGAATAGTTATCAAAGATTTTATTCATGACTGGTTACATACGTTGCCATGGTTTGCCGGACTCTGTTGGCAAAAAGAATGGGATCGTTCTTTTCTTCCTCAGTAGGAACATGAACAGGCAGAAACTGAAAGAGATGAGTTATCAAATCAATTGAATAGTCACCACTTTATTAGCAACATGGATAACTTCTTGTTATTGTTTGGAAAGGGGGAAAAACAGGAGCAAAAAAATCAGCCATGCAATGAAGGAACCGGACACTAGAGGTCTCAGCCACCTTAGAAACCACTCGGGCTCTTCTGCCCTAGCCACACAAATAAGATTTGGTCCAAACCTGCCTCTTAAAGATTGGTAGAAGCTCTTTTAATATGAAAAATCAACACCCCAAAGAAGGAAGGTATAATAAATACATACTTGGTTAGAAAATGAAATGCTACATTGGTAAGAATGTGAGTCTGAAATACTGTACACTCCTTTTCAAAGATCCGTTATAAGTGAGGCTATATACTGGAATAGTCTATGTAAGATTTATATTGTTTTTAAATACACATTGCAGTCCCACCTCATAGCTGTTAATTTTATCTGTCAGCATGGGACTGATAAGTTTCCTGTAAGTTTTTCCTCCATGGTAAAAATGTTAAGGAATCTTAGTTCTGTATTGTAAGTAGAGCACTAACTGGATACAAATACTGTACAATTTTGGAACTCCAAGCAGAGAGTAAAAAACCCCGACAAAACCACCCCCTCTCCTCCCAAACCTAGAAAACACCCCAGATATCTAAACTGCAACACATTTACTGTTGAGGATTTATTCAATGTTAATATGCAAGAAGTTGAAGTAGCATTACACTAAAAATGTACTATAGAGGAATGGCATGAGTGAGCATCTGTTTGTTTGCAAAGTAGTGTGTGTGAGAGTATTTTGTTCTTTGTACCTCAGTCTACAGTGTTTGCTTGCAGCTCTGTTTACCGTGCCTTTTCTCAGTTACGGTTATCATTTATTTCAGTTCTGCTACTCCCCACCCTGCGATCTTGCCCTTAAATCCTAGAATACAGCAATTCTAGAATAAGTATAAGGTGTTGCTCATGGTTCATTGGAAGACGCAGTTACTAATTATGTGTCAATATGTTTCTTCAGTTATATTGCAGTTGCTGCTGATGCACTAATATAGCAGTAACTGTCCATATAAATGCAGTTCATTCTAAACAGCCTTCTTATGTTTGTGTTTAAGGAATGCTGCCTCTTTATGATTAAAAACAGTAAGTTTATGGAATTGGTTATCTGTCAAATAGCCATAACAATTTTCTGTTTATAGCTAAAAGTTTTCTCCCCTGTAAGGACAGCAGGGGTCCAGCTGTTCACATCATGGTTTGAGATTTCATTCCCTCTATAAGCCGTTGCCAGCTCTGTTCAAGTCTGACATATGTCCCTGCTTACACAACTCCCCTTTGGAAGTCACGTAACTCTTATATCGAGGAAGCACAGGCACACTGTACAGACACAGAAAACTCTGTCATCGCTGGGTGAGATGAAGTCATAACTCCGAGAAGTTTATCTATGCAAACATGGGTCATGGTCTTGAAAGTGGTCATTACATCATTTGAGGCTGAGGTCTTGCTCAGACAGCAACCTGAATTTCTGGTAGGTTTAACACCACCTCTGCCCCCTTCAAAAGACCCACCTACAATTATTCATAAAACCAATTTGCCAGAAACCACAGCTGGAGATGAAGAATTTGATTTCTTGGCCACCTGTGGTGGCATGCATGATCTCGCACACACCCAGCTGCTTATCAGGTGAAGACTAGTAAGCATACCTTCCCTGTCAAATTCCAGTACTGTAAGAAAAATGCTTCACAGCTCTTTCAGTAGCAAAAATACTTCTCTGATCTGCTTTTGACCTAGTCTCTCACAGAATTTGCCAAATGCTGTATCTTTTGCAGCCCTAAAACTGACTGCCAGGTTCACTGTTTAATCTTTGATATCCAGTTTGTTAGAATATGACTAGACACGCATGCACATACTCCCTTGGACTACAGGAATACATCACTGCTGGTAGAGGCAGCGCAAGACTGATGGGAGTGGAAGGGCTGCTTCCTCACAGTATGGGCCAGCAACAGAAATGTGCGCTTCTAAAAGGAGTAGTCTGAGTCCCTCCTTCGCCAGGCAAATCTGCCCCTTTTCTTTTTAGAAATGGAAGGACTTTTGCATTGATGCTAAGAAATTAGTTCCGCTTTGGGGACACATGCTGCTGTGAAAGCCGCATATTTTTTCATATTTCAGTTTCATCTTTTGCAACATGAGATTTATTTTCTAACAGGCAAGTTTGAGTTCTGTTCTGAAGCAGGGGAAAATAAACCTTCTACTGAAAGGGCTATGTTAACTATTTCTTGCTCCCACATATATGAATTACATAGGTATGTCCTTCTGTACAAAATCATTGGGATAATTGCCTCTTTAGTACACCTTCTATAAATATGTGTCTACTGCATGTACTACACAGTAACAAGGGGCTCCCTTAAAATGAATTTCATTGTTTCACAACAAAGACCATATTGCTAATTGTTAGTAGTAGCAACACTGCTTGTATTTACAAAGCTTTGCACAACTTTGCTGAATCCTGTGTTTTGCAAATAAACAGCAAAACCTATCTGAAATTCTCCCATTCCTCAGGTCCCTAAACCAACTTAGTCCACACTGACAATCCTCTGTGGTCTGGTAAGGAATATGAAGTCCAACACTGAAACAAACTGACTGCACCTCAGTTATGTGGCTCCTCACTACTGTGCTTCCAATGTCGACTCTTTGACGGGGAGCAGTTAGACTAAGTGTACTGACACTATGAAGTGTGTATGTTGTTTCAGTTGTCATTCATCTGTCTTTGTGCTGTGCAGCTGATTTTAATGATCAAGGGAACAGGTTCATTATACAAGGCTCAGCTTTCTCCCCAGTGCAAGTACTGGAGTCCTTAAGCAAGCTCTTCGTTGCAGAAACCTTTCAGAGTTCAGTCTGGGAAGACTGTGAGGAAGACAAGGATACTTTGAAGGGAGCAGGGAAATAAGAAGGTGGGAAAAAGCGAACTTGTTACCTTTAACAGAACATATTATAATTCTTAGTTTTAACATCTGTCAAATGCATGTGGTGATAATTAGCAATGATTTCACAATGCTTTAAAAATAAAGGCATTTCTGACAGCTTTCTTTTAGGAACTCATCAGATTAAGTGATACACAGATATGGACAACAAATCTAAATATATTACTCACCATGATTCTGTTCTTGTTTCTGAGACATTTGTTTATTGTTCACTAACAGTGACCAATAATGTGAATAATGCATTTATATTGAAGTATAAATTCCCTGGTTGCTGAATCTTAGTACAAAAATATTTCTAATTCTTACCTCAACTTCTACTCTTGTGAAGAGCTGACACAGTGTCATTACGCACAGCTCTTTTCTGCAGGCAAGGAAGAAAGAGGAAGAAAAATACACTTTACTTACTTAAAAACAAAGTATTTGCACGTCAGTAGATGAAACTTTTTAAAGCACTGAGAAAAACACAGCCAACACTGGGGAAGGCTTTTAAGTACCTTGCAGTGAAGTTCCCTGAAACATTGCTTTCAACATTTTTTTCTACAGGGCTTCTGCATGTACCTGCTGCTTGCTCACTGGGCAGGCAACTTGGTGTCTGTTGTCATGCATAGTAACAATACTATACAGTTCTTTGGCCAGCAAAATGTATATATGTTACTTTATCTTTAAAGAGGTGAATACATCCTGGATTTTAAAGCATTAAGAGCTTTGATTCTGAGAAGTAGCTTTATCTTTTATTCTCTCATCTGCAAAATGGGACCAGTAACTTCCTTCTGCAGAACTGAAGCAAGGATTTGTTAGTATTTGATAGCCATTTTACAAATTATAGTAGTGTTCACACAAATGTGTTAATGAAGTGTCAGTATGTTTGGGACCTTCCGTGCTTTTAGAAAAAGTCACAAATTTTACTACCAACGGGTAGGGGGAGGAAGAAACTGCAAAAGAGGATAAGCATAATCACTTCCACTTCTGACTTGTTCTTTTCACTGTGATTTTTAAGCAGAAATGCACATTTGCTTTTTACTTTAAATCAGGTAAATCATAATAGAAAACCTTCAAGCAGTCTTTCTTCTGTTCTTGTTTTGGACAAAATAAAGAGAAAAGGAAAAGGCACAAGAAGAACTAAGGGATCCTTTCTACTTTCTGCAGGAATTTTCTAACACATAACATTAGGTTTTCCTCCCAGTAAGGCACAAAAGAAAGAAAGTAGTAGCAAGTGAAAGCAGAAACTGGGTTAGGAGGTTTCTGAGAAGCAGACTGGTACTGTCCCCTCCTGGCCGCAGTGTCCAGGAAGTTTTACAAGGAGTGTGACAGTTCTGCATTTTGTGATCTGCAGGTTTGCGTGGGGGATGTTCTTCTCCTGTTCCTTTCATCTTCTCCCAGGTTTCGATTTGAGCCTTCATCATCCAGCCACCAGGCTTAGAGCAGTTCTCAATTTTTAGTGAATGGGCAGCCTCCTCCCTTCCACAGGGATGCCTCTGCTTTCATTTCTTTCTTCACCTATTCCTACACCATCTCTCGTAACTGAAAACATAGCTTCTTTTCAATCTTCCAACATAAATCCTTCATATGGGAAATCTGTAGTATGCTACTGAATTTGCAATATTCATTACTCTCTGTATGCTGATAACTGTAATAGCAATAATAATAATAGCAGCAAAAAATTCTTGGGAAACTAAATGAGATGGACATTTTCATCTAGCTCAGCTTTCATAATGTCCATTCCACAAGTGTGCAGGTGCTGGGATTAACTAATGATAGCTTAAAAGGCGCTTATGATCTGCTCTACTAGTTCAGACATGTTTCAAAATTAGTTGCCTTAAAAATTTTAGTCACTTAGTAAATCAGTACTACTGTACTTACATACACTCCATATTCCACATGAAAATGTGGCATATTCCACATGAAAATGTGGTATATGGATTCTGCAAATCCACGTTTTAACGAATGTTTATAAGGTGAAAAGTATTTTCAGTGCAGCTATAAAGGTTTTTTAATACTTTAATAAAATATTTTAGCATATTAGAAGGCCACCTATGTTGAGAGATAAACAGAGATCCATTGCCTAAATGGAAAAATACTTTTCATTAAAATAATTTTTCATTATTTCAGTGTCAGATACTATATATATAGCCTCTTCGCTGGGATCTCAAGACAATTGCTTTTGTTGAGTCAGGCAAAAATAAAAATCTAAAGAAGAATCCTACATGTTAGAATGGGGAAAGATAGGCAAAACTAGTATTAATTTTCCCCATCTTCTTCATTTACTCTCCTATGACTCTTAAAATGAGATGGATGGATGAATAAACAGGGGGGATAAAATAACATCTATTTTTTCTTGTTTGTATACCATGTAGGAAACGGTAAACATCTATGGGTTTTGATGACTATGATTGTTCCCCAAAGAAAAAGAATTTCAAGTCTTTCTTTTGCTCTGGTGTAATGTGCAAAACAGGAGAAAATTAAACAATCGGTGGCAGAGCTGGGAATAATGCTTCCCCATTTGCAAACCCTTTCCCTAGCCATTCAGATACAAAATCTACTACATGACAGCATTATCCCCAAGTGTTTCCCCCTCATAAAAACAGATCTAGAACATGCATCTTGGCTTAGCTGAATCTGTTTGGCAGACTTTAGCAACGGGGGGGAATATTCCATGTGTAATTTTCAGTAGGATTAAGAAACTTACAATGAATAGCCCTGCCATGTCCAGGTCACAGTATCCTAAGGAAAAAAATAAAACACAGAAATGTATGACAAAGCTAGATGGAAGTTAGAGAGCAGATAGGTTAAAATATAAAACAGGCACAAGTTTAGTAAAAGCAGATGATGGTTTTATAGTTCTGTCATGAAAATAAATAAAGGTATCAGGGTGACTAGGATTCCTTGCCTTAAAAATCTGGAAATAAGCATGGCAGACTTTTGATAATATCAACAATTGGGAATAAAATTTATATAGTTACTTAGATATTTTAAATCATTCATTCTGATCCAAACAGAAGTAGGAAAAAAATAATCTAATAAGACTTTTCCAGAGGACTTCACCAGTCCCTTTAGAAAGGCACCCTCATAAATATGTTTGATTTAGTTTTTAAGGACATTTCTGTGTAGGTAATCTATCATGCTTTTTTCTTTGCTTTTTTTGCTTTGTTTTTGTTTTTTTTTTTCTTATTCTGTGTTTATTACTTCCTATATATGATTTTTACAATGTATACCGCAGAGCCTTAAATCCTATCAGTGAAATGCAATACCAGTCCCCTTCAGTGGTTCACTTCACTGTTTTGAAATTGATCTGTAAAAGGATTTTACAAAGGAATCTTTGTAAATAACAACAACAATAACAATCACTTGTTTTTCATCTTAAAAGTCATTAGGAATGAAAAGTTTGGTCTTTTCTGGATTTGCTGGCTGACCAGATAATTTAAAAAAAGTTAAAAAGTTGCCAGACTCATGTCCCAGCATTACACCTGTCAGTGAAGCAGAGCCATAGGTCTGTACCCTGATACTTGGCAGAAAGTGTAAACATTTACCTGGCAAAACAAGGGAAAGTTGCATGAAAAGAACCATCTGTGACGCTGCCCTCCTGAGGTGCCTGAAGGAGGCGGCGTTGGAGGTACTGAATGACTCGGCTTTGCTTTTGTTGAGAAACTTTGCAAGCCCCTTTGCGGTAAGAGTATTTTGAGCTTAACAAAAAATGATGACTAGTACGGAAGCTGTGTGAATTTTAGACTTCAATGTACAGGCTCTGTGGCTTTGCAGGAAGTTTCTAACTTCCGCTGCAACACTTCCCCGTGCTCCCTCTTACTTTAACTATAGCTAAGAAGCCCAGCAGTAAGTTTTTCACAATCAGAATAGCAACTACACCACGGTGACACTTGTGGACCAGCTGCTTCCAGGAGCTCTCCAAATCTAAAGATCAGGTCAACAGATTCTTCAGTTACAATGCAAAATATTTACTGTAGGTACCATTTAACTCAGGATTTTGACTTCCATATTACTAGTTAGTGATAGAGGAATGTTCTGCTTACCAGCTTGTTCGGGTATCGGAGCAACACAGGTTGTACAGGGACTCCTGGAACAAAGGCACCTGCAACCACAAATTAGAATTGATTGTTAAGACTAAGCTTAGTGCAGCGGTTGGGAGTTTTAAGTGATTCATGTAATACATGGCATCTGGAAGGAGAAATTTTTAGACAGGCGAGAAGAATGGGAAGTGTTCTGTTTGTTGTGACTTTTTTGGTTTTGTTTTTTTTGGGTCAGGGTTTGGTTTTTTGGTTTTGTGTTCTTTTAAATCAGCAGTGCAACTAGCAAGATGTCAGGACAGAAAAGGGTCACTCTCTATTTCAAGGAGAAATCTGCCTAAGATTCCTGGACCGTTCAAACTCATTTTCTGTGTATTATCTCCCCATTGATTGGCATTCATTTCAAAGGATTAGATGCTCACAAGGCTATTAAGCATTTCCTGAACCCTCCTCTGTTCTGATCATCTTCATAAGTGATATGGATCTGAGCATGTAGTACTGGTTTTGTAACTTTGCTCCCCAAAACACTGTACGACAGTAAGAAAGGAGAGCAATATGGCTTTAACTGAAGTGCAGCACAACAATCTAATGATCAGTGATGCTATCGAGTACCTTCCTGTGTTAAAAATAATCTATTGGCCTCTCTTGCTAAGCACTACACAAAGAGATTTCATAACTTGGTTCCTAAGTCTTTCATGGCAAAATTTACAGGAATCTCAGATGGCACAACTGTAAGTTGAGCTAAAAGAACATCATAAGTAGCATGTATTTTGGTAGTTCATCTCATAATAATCACAGTCAAGTTTCTGGGTAAATAAATTAGATGAAAACTGTACCCAGAAAAAAACCCAACCAACTAACTGTATACATCATAGGTATTTTGCATCCTACAAAATACGAAAACATCAGAAAAGTAAACTGGCTAGTATAAAATAGTGGGGTTAATGCCACCGAAACTTTAATGATGTAAGACATTACTACAGTGCTGTTGTGGATGATGTACCTGCAGAAGTATAGGCCTTAGTAGAACTACCAAATTAATATTTCACACATTATTTTCCAACAGCGCTGCGACAAAAATCTCTCACCTTGTTTAAATGTGATCAGGCAGGATCGGTTTGTGCAGGTGCCTTCTGGGAAAATCAGTATCTTGGATTTAAAGAGAAAGAAATACATATATACACACACATTTCATAAAAAGATTATACTTCAGCATCAGTTACATAAAGCCTGACTTTTTACGCAAGCTCTGTGACATGTTACACTGCATCACAAGAACACCATTACTGTTTCAAAAGGAAATGAACAAATAAGTGAAGGATGCTCACAGTAATATTAACCTGTTAACCTGATCCATCTTGATTTGGAAACAAATGCTTTGTAAGAGAGGAGTTCCGGAGAAAGGCCTTTATCAGTTCAGAAATACAGTACAAAAGGCTTTCAGTGTTTCAGTTGAAATGTTCAGTGTTGGTAATGATATGAGAACTGTTCCTCTGCTGGCAGCTCCTTACTGAACTGCTGGGTGTATAAACATCAAGAGTCTGGGCTGACATGAAGTGCGTGAGGTACTGGAGCCTTTACAGGCACAGATGCTATCAACATGAGTCGAGATGCCAGCTGTGATGAGAAGATCACAGCTTGAGGGGGAGCAGCAAAAGGCAGAGAGACTATGGGCCTCTGTGATGCAGAGCTCTGAAGGCATTACACACCACCACGCAGCCTCTGAACCTGAATGACTCAGATACACCAAGTACCCAGAAGCTTTCTGAACTAGTGTCTGAGAGATACTAGATTAGATGCGCAGTGAGCTGCAGTGTGACACACCATATCCAGCTCCCTATGGAATACAAGGAAGCTTTATGTTTCCCATATCACTACAGGATCATAAGCAGCATTCCAAAAAAAACTCAGCAGAAGAACTGGTCTGGATCAAAAGAGTGTTCAAGGTGTGCTCCCACTTCAGTCCAAATGAACAGGCCAAGGCTAGATCAAAGAGGGCATCATTAGGTTATACCCAAGAGACAGAGGCTGTTCTAAAGTATGATAGACACAGCTGCACATACCGAGTTACAGTTAGTCTTTGACTATGCATCTGTAATCAGAAATTGTTCGCTGGTGCTATGGACACAAAAATGGGTATGTTTCTCCTTTAGAATATGTCATAAGCCCCAGAACACATATTAGTGACTGACCAAAGAGTAAGTAATCATTGCCTCCTTCCCCTTTGTTTTGGTACAGGGCTGGGAGAAGCACTAGTCAGAACCTCACGCTATTAATAAGCACAAGTGCTGCCCAGCCTGTTGTGTTTTGGTTTTAGGCGGAGGGAATGGGGAATCCAGCTACTCCTTCTTTTCTGTTGTGCTGAGAGAATGCAGCCCAGGCACTCTGAAGAGAACATGACAGACATCACCTTGTGGTCAAGTTTCTCCAAAAAAAAAAAAAAAAGAGTAGGAGGAAGGTGTGGCCATGGCACAGGACTAGGAATCACCCAGTGATACTCTAAGTAGTACTGCTGTGACTCAGTCTTGGAGATTCCCAGATTACCTGACTCATAGACTATTTATGCCGTAATATAGATCTAGTTTCCAGCCCAAGTGCAGAACTGGTGTAAAGCTAATTCCCCCTTCCTCCCCATGCTGTTTTCAGCAAAGATTAGGTCTACCAGGGCTTTGCTGGAATCACTTTATCCATAACAGTTTAGCAAATCATAGGCATCAGCGTAGTTCGTAAGCACAGCATTACAAAAAAAGCCTTCCTAGCTTTGACATGTGCATGTTTAAAATCCTCCATATAATTGACAAAGTGAAAAAAATAATGGAGGCTCTAAAAATATTTGTGGCAGCTTAGAAAAATGCATTTATGAGTCAAATTAAAGTAGCCTAAACACTGACTAAATACCTTTTTGTAAGGTGCTTGCTAAGTAAAAATGAGACATGAAACGTCTAAATAATGCCATTTCCAAAAAAAATGGCAAGTGTTGGTCTTCCCTCAGGATGAGAAGCAGTTACACTTGAATGTTTTCTGTTTCTAGAGACTATTCACAGAGCAGAGCAGTGCATTCAGGTCTAGCTGCCATAGAGATACCTGCTACCAAAGTCTGTATTTTCACTGGCCTCTCTTAATTTTCCTCAAGAGCTGTTCATTGGAACAAAAGTGAAGGGAAAGGTAACTCTTCTCAATCATTTAGGAGGTAGCCAACTATGACTGAACAGATCTTGTGACTTTAGCTACTTAACCAGTCACTTCTTTGAGTTTTTAAATTTTTTTATTTTAAGCAAATTAACCCTTAAGAAAACAAATTAAGAACTAATTCAGAACACAAAGCATGAATTTATACACAAATCCACACGGGATATCTTTGAAGAAAGGTCTTATATCACTGACTGTATTTGTGCAGCAGCATGGCAATCATACTGTATTTGTAGTATCTGGAGGCTACATCAGACCACAGTCAATGCAATAGAAGAAAGCAGAGAGGCACTGCCAAATGAGATGTTAGTAGGTTCACAACTGTTCCAGGTTTTTCTTCTTGCAAAGGATGCGATTTCCATCCCAGCCCTCTGCCTGTCGTAAGAGCAGCAGAGTTACTGCCTCAACATTTTCCTCCCTCTAAAGCAACCCCTGCTCCATTAGCTTTTCAGGATGGAAAGCCATCCAAAGCCTAGAAGTGCAACAGCAGCTTGCTGCCGAGTAATGACCATGGGAAACAGTGTGCAGAATCAGTAACTATTGCTTCTATATTAAAATCTTACCACAATTCAGACCAATCTAAAAGTCTTGGTTTTACTACGTTATTAACCAAAAGATTGAACTGAGTTTCACCTCAGCTGTTCTTCACATGGGAAACTGATGCTTCAAGCTTAAGTACTGTTCATGCTGGAGCTTGGACAGCCCGGGTTACTCATCTCATCAACTGCTCATCCCGAAACTGTTGTGAGCACAGCTCTGCAATAGCTTCTCACACATGAGCTAGTTTGAGAATACGGATTTACATACACCAATCGAAGTCATCTGCTACACTGAAGACAGCACGTAAAGACTTAAATAGGGAAAAGAGAAGGCCAGGAGCATCTGCATTTTGGAACAGCAATTGGTACTGGCTGGATTTTAACTGACCCATTTGTCATGACAAAACTTTTTGGGCACCAGCCTCCCGTCTTCCTTTCCTACACCAGTCATATACCTGAGAGCCGACTTCCTCTTTGTACGTCAACAGAATCCTGTTCAGCTGGGCATTTGTGATACTATGATGCACAGTGAATGTAGAATATGAATACACAACAGAATAGTAGTAGTATATTTATTACCTGTGGCCACTGGCCTCTTGATAATGCCCGCTTAGTTATCTCAGTGACTGTATTCTTTCGTGAATCGGGGTCTTGACGAGAAACTGATACAGGCTGAAGGGAACTTAAAATTGCTGTGAAAGAGATAAAAAATTTTATTTGTCTTATGCTAGTGCATAGAAAACACATGGGCTCAAGGCTCCCTTGTAGCAAAAAACTTGTTATTCTCATACTAGGAGACAGACTCTGCACAAACAGCTTTCAGACAAAATAGATAAGAAGAGTATTATTATTGTCCTCATTCTGCAAAACAGGAAGGAAGACACAGAAGATATATGTACACTGCCAGCTGAGGAGCTTTACAGTAGGTATAAACATGCCATATTCACCCAAACACATTCTGCTAATATTGCTGTTATCTTTCACTGAGCCTTTCCACACAGTTCTAAGGAAAAGACCTGATCAGGTCTCTGCTCATGAGCCACACTCAGGCCTAACTCATGCAGACTGGAATCAACAAGTCATTTGAGCCTATGCTGAAGAAGTAAGAAGTCCTTTTTCAGTTACAAAGCATACACAGCTTGTGTGTAAATTACAGGAAAAAGAAAAAACTCATTTTGTCAGAAGTCTACATCAGAATGTGTGGATCTATTCAGATGTGATGAGAAACTTGGGGAAGAATTATCTTCTATGTCCCACTCCTATGCTTTTAAGAGAAGGTCAACATATTATCATTTAGCTTATTTCCTACAAAGACACTTCTCTGTGTTGCCCGCTGAGTTTAGTTTTGGGTTACTGTTGGCTTATTCTTTTAAGAGTCCTATAGAGATAAGAGACATGCAGCCAGAAGGAAGTCTACAGCGGATTCTAGTAATAATGCAAACGGGAATTCTTTTTGTGCCAAAGGGAAGAGAAAATAATAGAAGCATGAGTCATCTGATCTTTTCTGTTCTCTGCATTTCCTTTTTGAGTAACTTCTTTTATTCTTTCCTGGTTTGACTCCCATTAAAAAGTCCGTAACAGTGCCTGCAAGTTCAAACTGATAAATATGGTATTTTCCAGGCTGCTGTAGTTTGGATCTTATTTGGAAAAACCTTTGCTAATCCATGTTCTACATTTGTGGGCCACACTGTTAAAAGACAGCAGTTGAACAGATTTCTCAAGCTACCCACTGGGAGAATTTTAAGAGAAAGCCTCTAGCCTGAGCAGTTATGAAACATGCCTTCAGTATAAAGCAAATTTAAAGTGATATTATACTGCATATCTGAAAAGAAACAGCATACTTTTAGACATTTTGACCAATTCAAAAAGATAACTTGTCCCAGGGACTTCACTGGAAATAATCTGTCGATATCTTTGGAACCTAAGGATTTAAAAGTCTGCCCCTAAATCACTTCAGAGATCAGATTTTTGGCCTCATGTCAAATTGCTGACTTCTAACATTTTATTTTTTCATAAATACTTACTGCCAAATATCGGAGTTGACAGGTTCTCTGCTCTAGACACTATTGATGGCATTCCAGTTAGGGCAGAAATAATGGCATCAAAAAAGCTTGAATGAGGAGCTGCAACAAAGATTGGGGCTTCCGGCAGACTTGCTATTTTCCCTTTTACTTTAACTTGGAAACCCATTACGAAGAACAAGGTACGAGTTAGGCATGAGAGGGTTGTCTGGATCATCCTCCTTGTAAACAGAAACACAAAAATATCATCCATCTTACAGTTAGTATTTCTTTTCTAGTTTAAAACAGAAGCCCATGAAAGATTTCCCAGTTCTCACCAGCACTGGGGCCAGGCACAGGGCAGCAATACCACTTACCGGGAGAGTGTGGGGCTAAAGGGGAAGAAGTGGAAGTAGGGAAGGGAGCATCCCCTTTTCATGTTGAAACCAGATTAGAATTTTAAAGATAAGGCAATGTACTGCACCTTACTAAACCCTCCTTCCAGGTATGCTATTTCTCTTGCCGTATCTTGTAGCATTGTAGCATAACACTATTGAGAGGGGAGGGTGGGTAATTAGCAGATTCGGTGTCCTTTAACTCTGATACTGTTCTTTTACTATCACAATGTTCCCTTACTGGAACATGCTCCCTCAACAGAGAACATGTTCCCTTCATGGGACCCTGCGTAATCTCTCAGCCTTGTTAGAATTCACCTCCTGCGTCTCCTCCTCCTGCGTGCAGCTGCAGTGCATTGCAACTAGGAGGGAACTTCATTACTCTGAGGTCAGAAGCTGAGCGACTGAAACCCAGAACCCACAGAGGCAGATGTAAAATTCTCCTTCAAGGGCAACATAGCTAAGAGAGGAGCTGTCAAAGCTATCAGGAATGACAAAGGCTACACAGAAACTCAGCTTACGTAACATTACCAAATACTTTTCTAATGAGTTTCTTTTCTCAAATATTCGTATCAGTATTATTACTAAAATAAGTCCTGCTTACAAATAGTCTATAAAGATTTTTATACAGATTTGTTTTAGCCTCGAGACAATTGAAAATCTACCCATTTAAAAAGCTCCATTATTGTAAAACACACTCATCAAAAAGTTGCTTCACCTAAACGGGTAGAACTAAGATTTCACTGAGGACTCCACTTTAATCGAAAGGAAGAAAGGAACAAGAGGGGGAAAAAAAAAAGCTTTAGACACTGGCTTTGTGTTATTGAAAAAAAAAAAGCACAGAGTTTACACAAATATTGGTCGTTTTTTACCTTCTCCATCCTTTAAGTGGCACAGATCCTTTTCCATGGTGACGGAAAGTTGCAATTGATGCAAACAGCCATGCTAGCAGTAAAATGAATGCAATGCATATGGCACGGAGGGGTAGCAAAATAATCCCCTGAAGAACAGTCTAGAAAAAAAGAGGGGAATAATCTTAAGAAATGGTATCAACAGGAATGACACTGATATCTGTGTAGTTACATTGTAGGGACTTTAAAATACTAATGTTACTGCTATGTGATTTAGTAAGGAAAGCATTAATGATTCCAGTGTTCATATGGGGAAGTCAGCCATTCACAGCATTTCATTTTCACTTTTGGATTCCCATTTCAGGTAGAACTGGAACATGTGAGTATTTGAGTTTTTGGCTTGGATGTTGTTAGACAGAGAGGGTAAACAGAGTTTGTTGGCTTTAGTTTATACTTAGACTTGGTCTGCAGCATACAACCAGTTCAGATGAGCCTGCCCAGCTGATAGGTATCTCCACTACAGAAGCCTTCTGTAACTAGAAGCCAAGTGGGATTGTTAAGATGACTAACATGGACTCTTGCCCTTTCAAAATGACAAATCTTGTGTTGAGTCACACTATTGCTGCAAGTGATCTTCACTACTACTGCCTGGAGCAGTGCACATGCAACACAACTTCATTTCCCCTAGTTGGGACTTAAGCAAAATGGAGTTTCCAGTAAAACTGAACCTGTGGTTTAAGGCAAAGGTTCAGACTTTACAGTGCTGTTGAAGCTGCTGTAGCAGCTCTTGGCTTATTGCCTTTGGAAGTGGTTTGCTCACTGCCCGCAGTAAACATACAGCAGAACCCTTCTGATTATGAAGATTAACTTGTTGCCTCCTGTTTGAGCATCTTGGATATTAACCTCTGTGCTAGGACCTCCTTGAATTTTTCAGAATAAATTGAGAAAGCTTAGTTCCCTTTCCTCCCCACAATCAGGAAACTGTTATTAGCTTGCTTTAACTTGAAGCAAAAGAAACTATTGAGAGAGTTCTGCTACGGTCACAGACAGCCAAGCTAGGTAGCAAAACTGGTATAAAACAGATCCAAGCCAATACTGCAATTCACTGCTTCTTCAGTTCTTCATATGCATTTGTAAAAGGAGTGGGGTGAAGGAGAAACACTAATATGCCCTGGTTGCAAATAATCCTCAAATATCACCCCCAGCCCTCCCTAAGGAATTTTTAGCTTGCATTTTTTCATGCACAGCTCCAGGAAACGTGTATTGGCACAAGGTTGTTAACAGGCAGCTGCGGTACTGGGCAGGGCAGGAAGAAATTCTTAATTATTTTACCCCAGTACATTAGGTTAGAAACTATATCCTGAAGGTTAGCCTTTATGGCGCAACACAGCACTATGCAGATTGAGCAAGCTCAGGTCTGGGAGGCAGGTGAGCCGTGTTAGCATGCGGAAGGCATAGCCTAGCATTCCTGGTAAGCTCGTGAACGGTTCATCTCTTTTGGTACCTAATCCAGCTAAGCTACCACTCACTGATGAGGATCAGCTCTGTGTGCATACATACGCGTAAAACAATACACACCCAACCAGAACTGTAATAACGAATGTTTTTTTTTTTATTCGGGCTGTTTCTAAAAGTCCCTCAAAAACTTAGTATGAGAGTGCATCAGTGATCACAGACTGACAGCTCAGCCAGTTCAGAAGTATGGTAGAAGTTATTGAAGAAGAGTTATGTTTATGCTTGTGAGCTTACTATTATTTTTTTTAGGAAAATCAACAGCTGAACAACAGTGTTCCTCTCTCAAAATCAGCCTTTCTAGTCAGCTCTTTAGCAATGACTACTTACTGTACAATAAAAGCAAAGCTTTTAATAATATGTAAGTTTTACAAAATAGTTTGCAACTTATAGACTTGAGCTATGATTATTAAGTAACACAATGGATTTTAATTTATCTCTTTTCTTCAAAAAGGAACAAATGTTTGTAGCACATTTTGGAATAGAAGCATCTTTTGAGTATTATTTATCCAATTCTTTAACATAGTAGGTTGGTTCTAATTGTCCTTTCATCAACATGGTCCTTTCCCGCCCCACCAAATTCCTTCCATCTTCACATAATGTCCTCTTAGCGTCCTCTTATCAATATTCAGGAGAGGCTCTGGCCTCTGGCTCTAAACCCTGTGATACTGTCGAGGATTAACAGGAATTTTGGGCCTTCAGGACTCAGTTCTGTGTTACAAAAGACACAGTGACAACAGACCGAACATGATAGTGGATACAGAGTGTAAATTAGGATAAGGATGAGAAGCAGCTATATGGTGTTGCTGCTTGTGTTCTGTAAGCACTGCCATGTAACACATCTCCAGGAGATCTGAACATTCAGGTATGACTATTTCCTTCTTGAAGCATACAATGTGTTGTTTTGGGTTTTTTTTATATATATAAAAGCTGTATATAACTAGCTATGGAATTTTAACCATAACTTTATGGACAACAAGAAAAGGACTGTTCTGGATTACAGAAATGGATTCGGTAGCTGTGTATGAGGAATTTGGCCCTGGAGATCTATTGCTACCACTCTCTTTGGTGCCAGCTGTGGTGAATCTGAAAATGTCAGGTAGCAAGTTAAACCAACCAAGACTCCTTGCTTGTCTCCCAAAATCAGATGTGTCCTTTTTTCTCCATATGTGTCCTCTTGTACTATGATCTATAGTCCCAGTTCAACATTTCAGCTGCCTTCAGTTATGCAGAATGGGCTGCATAAGCATAAATCAGTGTGTTTTGACTTAAAATAACTTTTTTCTTTATGAAAAAAGAATATTTATGCAGTGACCTACAATGAAAAATAAAGGATGCAATAGCAAAAGCAAAACAATCGTTTCCTCAAAACTTTAATAAATTCATTAATCTATTTTAGGCAGATGCGCAGGTGGTACTGATTTGCTGATGCAAGCTATTGGCTTTCTAGGTCACTGTGTAATGAGGCAGAGTTGATTTCTGCTCCATCAGCTGCAGAGTAGGGTAAGAAAAGGACGGAAAAGAGAAAGGTCAAGGTAGGCTAGAAAAGAAAAAGTAGAGGAGAAAAATATACAGAAGAAAATACAGGTTCAAAGTTTAGTAACTACTAAGTAGGCTCAGAGCCACTCCAGCTTCTGTATACAGTAATCACAAAGACAGAATTATTCTGAGTCATCCAAAGAACCGTTTCCCACATTTGGAATCACCTGTGTACTTTCTGTTTAAGGTATCTGCAACAACTGCATAGCCTGTCACTGCAGTTGCTGCAGACACCTGCAGTAGTCCTTGCTGTCCGGGTCGCACTCCCACAGCTGACTGACCCTTAAGCAATACATGGGATTACACTGTCACTGATGTCAGGACCCGGGGAAGGGGAAAAGCAAGTCTCTCAGAAAGCCACACAATCCAGTTTGAAATTTTGTTCAACTTCAGCTGCTAACAATTTATCTAGGAAGCAGCAGAAGAGCAGGCTGGGGACCAGAATGAAGCCCAGGTCCAGCTGAACTCCCCTGACATCGGAAACTTTGAGCAGATGGACTGTCTCCCAAAGCAGTACACGCGTAGCAAGACGGGGTCTTCCATGAGCGTCAGAGCTCTCTGCCAGGCAGTCTAGCTGCTTACTTCCATGCCCAGAGTTAAAAGTAATCTTGCTTTTACCATGCTGGTTGTGCCATTACATAGTTCACCATTACATAAATCCACTGAACACCTCTTCTGAATAAAGGAAAACCTAGTCATGACTTAATTAGTATTTGTGCTTTGCAGTGCAGTTCAGAAGTTAAGAGGACAAGTGAGCAGTCAGGATGAACAGACCTAAAACTAAAAAAAGGAAAAAATCCCAACCATGAATTGCAGCCAGCTTCAGTCAGAGGATGGAAACCAGAAGTATTTGAACAACTGTTTTAAACTCTTGTTTGGCACCTGCAGATGTTTAGCACAGCACAAGTGATCCTTGTTTTGCACATTCTAGAGGAAGACAAAAATCTCATTGGCTGGTAAACTATTTGCAATACAAGGACTGGCAAAAAATTGTAGAATCTTCTCACTCCACTTTTCCGTCTGGCTACAGCCTATTTTTGTATTTGAAGCTGAATGAAATGCAAACAGCTAGCCTGTCTCACTTTCAAGCTCCATTCATCAGGGGACAGCAGCCTTTACATGCAAGGAGTTCACCAACATATGAAAATCCAGCTTTGGGCTCCCAGAGGGGGCTTTGAAATTGTATCTGTTTTTATCAGTGTATGTTAAAGGAATAGTATAGAATAGGGGGAATATGACAAAACAGTCCTTTAACACGCAAGAATGGAGATACACTACACTTGATTTAAATGGAGAGAGAAGGGCCACTTCTCTTTTTTGAAGTTTATAGTAACACTGTCTGGTCAGGCTCTGATTCCCAGCTGGTCTGATAGGGAGTGCTGGGCAAGAGGAGCAGCTGTTTACAGGATAAAGCAGACAGTAGGAAGTATCCTAGTCGCTATGGCTATAGGGGAAAAAGAACAGAAGGGAGGAACACACAGTATAAAAAGGTTCTCTCTCTTGCATCTTGTGTCTTTTTGCTTTAAAATTCTGTGACTACTGCAATTTTGCTTCAAAGCTCACTAGCACTGGGCCCTGACCCAGCTGGGCACTTTTCCTTCCAGGTGCACTGTGGAGTTATGTATGGAGTGTATCTTGCTTTAAGACATAACATGTTTTTCATCCCTTCCTCCGGAAGGAAAAAAGTGGGATATATTTATTATAGCTAAGATGGTAATTGTAGCGTAAAATTGCAAGCTTTTGAAACTAGTCTGTGCATCCATTACAAAGAACAGCATTCTCCTGGAGAAGCTGGCTGCACACGGCTTGGATGGGTGCACTCTACGCTGGGTTAAAAACTGGCTGGACGGCCGAGCCCAGAGAGTGGTGGTAAATGGAGTCAAATCCAGTTGGCGGCTGGTCACGAGTGGTGTTCCCCAGGGCTCAGTACTGGGGCCGTTCCTGTTCAACAATGATCTGGATGAGGGGATCGAGTGCACCCTCTGTAAGATTGCAGATGACACCAAGCTGGGTGGAAGTGTCGATCTGCTGGAGGGTCGGAAGGCCCTGCAGAGGGACCTGGACAGGCTGGATCGTTGGGCCGGGGCCAACTGCATGACATTCAACAAGGCTCAGTGCCGAGTCCTGCACTTCGGTCACAACAACCCCATGCAACGCTACAGGCTGGGGGAGGAGTGGCTGGAGAGCTGCCTGGCGGAAAAGGACCTGGGGGTGTTGGTTGACAGCTGCCTGAATATGAGCCAGC